TTTTTTTTTTTTTTTTTTTTTTTTTTTTTTTTTTTTTTTTTAGTAAAACAAACCAAAAGCAGGATGAAGATGGGAATTTTGTCTGGTTTTGTCAAGAGTGTAATTCTAGATATTCCACCAAAGGAAAATACTGCTACACTCCCCGAGCAGCAGCATTGTCCAGTGGGCCTGACTCGACTTTTAAAGCAGCAGAACACACTTGTTATTTGACTTCAAAGGTCTATTTTTGCATAGAGCGCTTACTGTACATGATCTGAATCAGAACGGTCCATACCAAGGACACAAGCTTTTATTTTCTATTCCTGTACTCTCAAAAAGTAACTATACCAATTTTTTTGATGATGGTAAAATCATTTCCTAAGCTATTTATTCATACTAAATAAATGTGTGACACAAAAAGAGTTAAGGTACTGGTGGAATGCTAATCCTGTCAGTAATTCTGTTGATATTTGACATTTTTTTTTGTATAACAGACCTGACACGCATACATTTAGGATGTGGGTGGGGAAAAAAATTTTCCAAATTAAATTTGGAACTTCAAAATTTACAGATAAACTGTTGGGTTTTTTTTCACTATGTGTAACTCCTGTAGATGGCAGTAAGGGGAGAGAATATTTCTGAAGGCAGTTTGACCAGGATCAGTTTTCAATTGTTTAATTAACTTCAAACCACTGTGTCTATTGAACTCAAGTTTTCAAACGCACACCACCACACAACACATGCAGTATGAAAAGCCATGATAGAATATTGGCAGTGCTATTAACTGTTACAATTTATTCTTGTGAGAGTAATTAAAACATAATGATAGATGTGAAATTTAACTCTATTCCATATATGAATGTATTATCACCTTGGTGATGTGTTCTCAACATCAGAATCGGGCAATAGGAAACAGATAATCCCCAGGGCATGCAGCGTGGCAGGAAATTGGGTTGGACTTTTTTTCATAGTTCAAAGGAGACCTGAAATACTTAACATCTTACTTGCTGGCTTTTAGAAATTCAGGTCTTGTTTGGTATTCAGATGAAATCAAAATTCTTCTCATTTGATCTGGATATCAAAAGCAGCTTTTCATAGATTTCATAGACGTTAGGACTGGATGGGACCTTGGAAGATCATCAAGTCCAGCCCCCCGCCCAAAGGGCAGAAAGTCAGCTGGGGTCATAGGATCCCAGCAAGATAAGCATCTGATTTGCTCTTGAAGGTGTTCAATGTAGGTGCTTGAACCACCTCCGATGGCAGGCTGTTCCAGACCTTGGGGGCTCAGACAGTAAAGAAATTTTTTCTTATATCCAGCCTGAAATGGTCTTGTAGTAGTTTATAACCGTTCGACCTCGTCATCCCTTGGGGCGCTCCCCCAAGATACTGGTGGTCACCCCTGATAAACTTATAGGTGGCCATCAGATCATCCCTGAGCCTGTGCTTTTCCAGGCTGAAAAGCCCCATGGCTCTCAGCCTGTCGTCGTAAGGTCTGTTTTCCTGACCTCTGATCATGCGCGTGGCTCTTCTCTGGACTCTCTCAA